AATCTTTTCATAGATCCCACGCTACTTCATTTTTGGTGTCCTCATTCTCAAACGATGAGATGGTGACATAAAACTGTTCAGCAACACATTGGATAAATTCTCATTGGTTTCATTCACTCTTCACTTAGTGACTTTAGAATTCTCCTTGAGGATTTTAAACCAGTGTTAGTAGTTGAACTAAATCTACATTACCAGCTCAAGAACTCGGTAGGGAAGGAGTTGGAACTGTGGACAGTCCCAACATGAGAACTTCATCTCCACATCATTTCTTAATGTTTTTGGAAAAGCCATTGCAACAGGGCCAACTTTCAGCATTTGGCTTTTGTTTGATCTACTCTTCAAGCCAAGTTGGGGCTGGGTTGGCCTCTTTCCTGGTATTATTCCTTTTTCAGCTTTCTGTTTGCTGTAACCACTGCATGAAACCTAGACCTCCCAACCCCACTCCTCCCCAGGGTTGCTGCTTTCAAATGCTGCTGCTTGGCAGTGACAAAATGGAGGTCAAGTGATTTGCTTCTCACCAGCTCTAGGGCTCTCTCTTTTCCCTGCCTCTCCAATCAAGGGATCTTAATGAGATTCTGTTAGATCTCATGCACTCACTTGCTAGTAATGCTATTTCTTAGGAAGGTTTCAAAGTGTCTTTGGTAGGTGACCCCTTGCACTATACTTAGCAAAAATTCTTCAAAGCTTCTTGCATGTGAATAGCACCCTTTCCTAATTTCTGCTGTCATGTGGTTATTTCATTGTTCATAGCTTTTTACTATTTTAATCATTTTAATGGTCACCTGGCAAAGACTAAATTAGATGCCCATGTCTGTGCAGCCTGGAAGTCAGGACTATATTTCTAGGCTGCACTGGGTTGCAGTTGTCCTCTCACGGCCACTGAGGCCATGTGCCAAGTGATGAGCCGCTCACATGCTCAGAAAGAATAACTGGCTCTTTGCTGCTCCCCTTGAAATGCAGCCGTTCCTTGATGTAATTGTTTTCACCCTTCCCCTCTCTTTGCTCTGTACTGTTGCCTTGGCTTAGGCTGTCCTCCTATACAGATGACCATAAAGGTAACCACATAGATAACTATATACATATGTAACCCTGTCTGATCCTAAAAACTTCAAATATCATGCTTGACTTTTTTACGTAGGTACCCCCATAGTGAGAAAACATACTAACATCCAAACCAAACACTGGCCTTCTTTGCAAGTCTCTCCTTTTCCTATGCTCCCTATTTCTGTCCTCTAGGGCTTGAAAACCTCCCCATCCCTCTCACCCTTCACCCCACATTCAGTCAGTCACTGTCTTTTGGTCCTACCTCCAAACTGCTTCTTGAATTTATCCCACCCTTTCCGTTTTCATTTCAATGACCCTGGTTCAGGTTCCTATCACTTCTCACCTGAATAACAATTTCATGATGATTTCCTGACTTCCATATCTCTCTTCTCTGAAACTTTCTCACTCCACAGCTGTGAAACTTCCTAAAGAAGATAAAACCATACCACTCTCTTTCTCAAATGTCTTCATGGCTCCTCACTGATTACAGGACACAGTCAGCCTCCTTGGCTGCTCAAGGCACTTCGGGATTCACACTCTCTCTAGTTTCCTCTCCCACTAACCACTTCTCCACACTCTGAACTCTCGTCATGCTGGACTGTTTGCCATTCTCCAAAGAGCCTTGTGTTGAAGTCTTCATCTTTTGCTCAGAAGTTTCTTCTGTGTAGATCTGAGCTTCACAAACTGCTTTCAGTCTGCAAACACTGTTACTGATCCATGACGAAATGAGTAATAGAAACTGACAGTAAGTATTTAGAAACTTGTACGGCAATTTGATGAAGAAATTTTATGTTTGTTGAGTCTAATATTAAAAAATTGGGGTTCATATTTTGTATGCCATTTTTATATCATTTTTTTCAGTAATTCACTTCCATTGTATTTTACAAAAGTATCAGTCCATGCTGGATTGAGAAAACCTGGCCACTCCCCACAGAAGGCTGTCCTTCCACCCCCCACCCCCTGCCCATCCTTAGAAGAGAGTTACCAATTGAAACCACGCCCATCCTTCATGCTCCAGCTCAAACGCCACTTCCTCTGTGAGTTTGCCCCAACTGTCACGTACTTTCCAGACTAGAAATTACTCAGACATTCATCTACATAACCACAGCACATTGTGTCTTCTATTAAAACTGCGCATGTGTCTTCTTCCCTAGAACGTTAGTCATTGAAGGGAAGAACTCTTAGGCAAAATAGATATCTAATAAATGACCACTGACTTAAACAGTTATTACAGACTAAATAAAAAGAACAGGGAAATGCTTTCCATTCTCTGCATATGAGCAAAGTGGGTGCTCAGAATGAAGTCTAAATTCCTTACCTGCCACTCACCTGCCTCTTGGTCCCATGTCCCTGTTTGCATTTCATACCAAGTGATATCCTGCCCGCGGCCATCCTCACCTCATGCAGTGTCATGCCTTTGTCTATGCTGTGCTCTCTGCTGGAGCATGTTTCCACCCTTCTCTGTCTGGTTAACACACATGTGTCTTTCAAGACTCAGCTCATGCATCCTTCCTTCAAAATCTATCCTTGAATCCCTTTCGTCTGGGCTTCCACTCCATTCTATGCATCCCTCTGTGTAGGCACTTACCATATTAAACTGAAATGATCTGTCCAGATGTCTGTCTTCTCTGCCCCTTGAGACTAGAAACTTCTTAGTATAGGGACAATATCTTATCAATCTTTGTGCCCTCAGTGCCAAGCACACTGCATGCCACACAGGCAGCATTCAAAAATGCTATTTTTTTTTTTCTTTTCCCTTTTTGGTGGCTGGCCAGTACAGGGATAGAACCCAGGACCTTAGTGTTATCAGTCTAATATTAAAAAATTGGGGTTCATATTTTGTATGCCATTTTTATATCATTTTTTTCAGTAATTCACTTCCATTGTATTTTACAAAAGTATCAGTCCATGCTGAATTGAGAAAACCTGGCCACTCCCCACAGAAGGCTGTCCTTCCACCCCCCACCCCCTGCCCATCCTTAGAAGAGTTACCAATTGAAACCACGCCCATCCTTCATGCTCCAGCTCAAACGCCACTTCCTCTGTGAGTTTGCCCCAACTGTCACGTACTTTCCAGACTAGAAATTACTCAGACATTCATCTACATAACCACAGCACATTGTGTCTTCTATTAAAACTGCGCATGTGTCTTCTTCCCTAGAACGTTAGTCATTGAAGGGAAGAACTCTTAGGCAAAATAGATATCTAATAAATGACCACTGACTTAAACAGTTATTACAGACTAAATAAAAAGAACAGGGAAATGCTTTCCATTCTCTGCATATGAGCAAAGTGGGTGCTCAGAATGAAGTCTAAATTCCTTACCTGCCACTCACCTGCCTCTTGGTCCCATGTCCCTGTTTGCATTTCATACCAAGTGATATCCTGCCCGCGGCCATCCTCACCTCATGCAGTGTCATGCCTTTGTCTATGCTGTGCTCTCTGCTGGAGCATGTTTCCACCCTTCTCTGTCTGGTTAACACACATGTGTCTTTCAAGACTCAGCTCATGCATCCTTCCTTCAAAATCTATCCTTGAATCCCTTTCGTCTGGGCTTCCACTCCATTCTATGCATCCCTCTGTGTAGGCACTTACCATATTAAACTGAAATGATCTGTCCAGATGTCTGTCTTCTCTGCCCCTTGAGACTAGAAACTTCTTAGTATAGGGACAATATCTTATCAATCTTTGTGCCCTCAGTGCCAAGCACACTGCATGCCACACAGGCAGCATTCAAAAATGCTATTTTTTTTTTTTCTTTTCCCTTTTTGGTGGCTGGCCAGTACAGGGATAGAACCCAGGACCTTAGTGTTATCAGCACCATCAAAAACACTATTTATATGAATAAAAGTTCACTTTGAAGCACTAAAGGAAAAAAGGAGTGTAATTATGGGTTCATGGAGATATCATACTAGCCAAAGCTATCAGAAAAAGGCTTAACTTAGATTAGCCTGACAATGAAATTACTGATTATAGATCAGAAAACATTGGAGAGATTAGCTCATTGGTTAGAGTACAGTGCTGCTATCACCACGGTCAAGGGCTTGATCCCTGTACCAGAAGATATTATTACAATCAGTGGCTTTTTGTGGGAATGCATATTTTCTGTTGTTAGGGAATGCTGCCATCAGGGATTGAGATTCTGAACCAAGTACAACTGAAGTACTTATAGATTCTACTGTTGCAATGAGAAAATTTTTGCTATCGATTCAGAAAAGGGAAAAGGCCCAATAACCAGTACTCTATGATCCATATAGAATTCATTTAAGAAGCCAAGAAGGTCACTGGTGAGAGCTATCTTAATTGAGAAGAATGACACATACTGCAGCACAGGCACACGTTGAAGCAGACACTAATCTGGGTGGCAACAACATTTCCCGTTCCTCAAATCTTAGCCCAGCCGCCTGCAATCAATGCGTGGGCCTGAAGTTGTGCTTTGGAAAAGTCATCTCAAATGATGATTTGCTAGTTCCTGGCCAGACTTTGCACTGTTCACCAAAGAAATACCCATGGTTACTGGGATTATGAAGTAACCTCAAAACAGCTGGAAGATATTAGTCAATCAGAGCCATGCAGGACTGGCAGAAGATGGCAAAAAGGGGAGCAAATCAAAGCCTACTAGCTTGCTTTGGTTACAATCTAAAGTTTCATAGTCTACATGAGGCCTTGTCCACTCTTGGCCAATAGCTGTGTTTTTAACTAGCCCTATCTCCTTGCTTGGGTTACTGGTAAAATTACTGCTTCCTGGACAAGAGGAAAGGTGACGTCAAATATTTTTCCTTGGCGAACTCAACTAAGAAAACCATGGGATGAGTTCACAGTTTTATGTAGACATTTTGGTGCTGATCAATTTTTTTTCTGACCAGCTGATTAGGGTTCGAGTAACTTACACCAACAGTTTTGGGATGGGTCCAGCTTTGTGCCCAGATTTTCTTGGACCATAAATGCAAGATTACCTGTAGATTATCCAGGATGATTCGGAGTGAGCGCACCTGTCGTCGAACAGCACCTGAAAACCTTTCATAGGTCGCGGCATCATATTCACTCATTTGGATCTCTTTTAGCCTGAAACCAAAGGAGCAATAAAAGCGAACAGCTTAAATCAGGCACATGTGAGTCTTTTACTTTCATTCACCTACTGCTAGAACTGTCGCAGACTCCTTGGAAACTCCAATTGACTTTGAGAAACGGCAAGAAGTTATGTTTCCAGCTACGTCTCTAGATTCAAGGGAAGGGAATGTCCAGGAGTGTGCTGGTGAACAGTTAATAAATGGCCCTCCAAGACAAAAAAAAAAAGCCCTGATTTTTTCAGATTTGTAGTATTCACTGATTTTCATGGTAAAAATATTTCTACCACGATCAGTTTCGAGCTACTACCAGTGAGGTTAACACCGAGTTAGACAGAAATGTGCACAATGGGGTCTCACGAGCCAACATAAATTGGCTCTATAGCATGCCATTGCTATACCCCAAAGACATGTTGTGATGCCAGCAGTTGATCAGTTCATGTGGCAGATTCCTAGGAGAGTTCCCATGGGTGGCTTTTTAAGACTGAGGTCATATATTTGATTGACAAAGATAACAGTTCAAGCCTAAAGAATGTAATTTAATATGTTGCTATGTAGCCCTATACAAGACTTTTCTCAAATTGCTGATGGTGCACTTTAATTAGAATTGTATTTTAATATTATTGTAGTTTTGAGATTCTGTCCTACCAGAACATCACTCCTTTTCATCATTTGCCATCATTTGCTCTTGCTGAAACCCCATCAGTCCACCAGCAGTTCTTTGCACACACTCTTTTTTTTTTTCAAAAAGATGACCGGTAAGGGGATCTTAACCCTTGACTTGGTGTTGTCAGCACCACGCCCAGCCAGTGAGCGAACCGGCCATCCCTATATGGGATCCGAACCCGGGGCCTTGGTGTTATCAGCACCGCACTCTCCCGAGTGAGCCACTGGGCCGGCCCTCTGCACACACTCTTTTTTTTTTAAAAAGATGACCGGTAAGGGGATCTCAACCCTTGGCTTGGTGTTGTCAGCACCACGCCCAGCCAGTGAGCGAACCGGCCATCCCTATATGGGATCCGAACCCGTGGCCTTGGTGTTATCAGCACCGCACTCTACCGAGTGAGCCACGGGCCGGCCTTGCACACACTCTTTAGGACCTTGCCTCAGTGCCTCTGTAGGTGCTTCTCTCCCACCTGCAGTGTCCTTTCCCCTGCCGCTTTGCCTACTAACTATCACTTACCCATCAAGACTCAAATCAGTGATGGCCTCCTCTGGAAGCCTGCTCTAACCCCGGGCCAGCTTCTGCACGCTAGTCTCACGGCATGCCTCCCTCAGTCACAACATTTACCACCTGTGCTGTGATTGTCTGCCTCCTGTCTCCTCAGCTAGCCTCAGCGCTCCTTTAGGTAAGGGCTGAATCTTTCTCATTTTTGATGTACAGTGCCTAGCACGATACCTAACAATGGGTGCTCAAAATAAATGGAAATGAAAATAAGATTCAAGATTATTTAAAATGCAGCATCTTGAACTAATCATAAGTAGAAGGTTAATTCACTGAGTGACCTCTCTTGGGTTTTACAGTGTTATATCCATAATATGCTAATTTAATCACACATTTCTATAAATTTCTGTAAATATAAAGGGTACCGATACTAGGACAGTGAATGATGAAGCATATTTCAAAAGCCTAATCACACTGCAATCTCTAGATTGCTATGTGTGTATGTGTATGTGTGTATGTACATTTAGGGAAAATATAGGAAAATGGTCAGGGCCCCTCAGGTGTTCAGAATCTTGCCAAGCATTTGATGTAAATATGCACGTGCACCCAGGTGTTCCTTGGTTATTGTCTAATGTAATTGCACATGTGCACCGAGATGTCCTGGCTATAAAGAACCAGTGGCTCTGATCCACAGGGCCCCCCTGCCCCTAGGATACCCCCAGGGGGGTCACGGAGAGCCTGCTACTAGCTGTTGCTGCCAGGGCCCCCAGGACCCTCTGGGAGGCCACCTTCGCTGCTGCTGGGAGCTGCTGCTGCTACTCTTATTGCTGAGGACTGAGCTCGTGTCATCTGCCAAAGGCTCCCAGGATCTTTCCCAATTACCTAGCGTGGACTTGCGTGTGAGGGGTCTGGTGACCCAGTCTGTATAATGGCTTTGAAGGGTCTGAGCCCTAGCCCTGACAATACAAATGGAAACTTAGTATAACTAAAATAATGAAACGTTTTGGCTTTAGTTATGAAATGACTAGCTATACAGTTAGCGTATTGCCTCAACTCAACAACTGACATAGTCATGTAGCTATTGCTGTAGCTTGACAGTAGTATGTGTGTGCACACGTGTGTGCAATGTGAGAGGTACACATCCTATGTGTATAACTGAAACTCTCATCTAAAATATATTTTATATCTTGGGCTGGAACAGACATCCCAAATGCTAAATGAGAATGAATTGTCTCTATTCTTCCCTGTCAGGCCGAGCATTGCAAAGAAGCCATTCATCAAAGGGCAGAGTGCTAGAAGCATATTAGAGCCACATAATGCTAGACTATCGTGGGGAAGATTTGCAATTCCTGCCCTACCACCCAGCTGGGTTAGCAAACACCAACTCAGCCAGCTCAAAGGCCACAACCTATGAAGCCGTGTTTGATCTCTTGGGTAAAACTGACCATTCCTTTTTCATGTACCTTACACAGACATTTATCATGGAAGTTGTATACTTTATTGTTTTAATAGAGAGGTCTGTATCCCTCTATCATGGTGTTTATCAAACTTTTCTAAAGTAGAAAGTATGTTTTACATTGAGATCCATTACACACAAACATGTGTGTGTGTGTGTGTGTGTGTGTGTGTACAACTGAACCAAAAATTTGATGAAAGATGTTTATTCCATGTGATGTACACAGATGTTTTCTATTCTATCCCTCTGGGAGGACAACTGTGTTTTATTTTTAATTTGGATCTCCAGGACCTAGCACTATGCCTGGCAAACAGTAACACTCAATAAATGATATTGGATAGCATTTTGAAAACACTGACTATCAAAAGGTAAATACAGACAAGGCCACTGTAATATCTGAATGGTTGTATCCTGAGATGACATGCCAAGGTACCCTTTCTAAATCTAACACACTCTCTGCTCTGAAGAACAAAAAGGAATATGTGTATAGGACTTGAGCTCCTAATAGCACCTATTTTATGTTTAGTTTTGGCAAATTCTGAAACCTCTACAAATTGTCATTAGATTAAGTTATATCTCAAGTATCAAAGCTGACAAGCTGGGCACAATGAACACTGCAGGGTATGCTACCTCCCCACTTCATACCTAAGAAGTTAACATGATCTGTCCCAAAGAACAAAAATTAATACTGATCAGAAAAGATATAGACATAGCTACATGTAGACTTAGCTTGTCCTTGGGAGAGGGGGTGCAGGAGGAATACTCACACATACACACATAGATAGATAGATAGATAGATAGATAGATCGATCGATCAAGGAAGAAGCTGGGTAGTTGGTAAGTACCATGAGCAGACTGGTCTTTGTAGGGAGAATAGAATTAGCTCCAGTTATAGAGCTACCTCTGGTGAGATCATGTTGCCCCCCCCCGCCAAACACACTGCATGCTGTTTTAATTATGAAGAAATCTGGAAATCATATTCCAGATTGTGTCAGCCTTCAGAAAGATCACTACAAGGTGTTCAAAACTGATAAATTCGGAAAGATGAAAATCGAAGCAGCGAACAGAGAAAGAAAACAGGAAATTGTACCCTCTGGATTAGACAAGCTTCCCATTGCTAATACTCTCAAGCCCACAAAACTAGCTGAAAATATGTCTTTCTGCTTCTTCAACCCTGATCAAAACTGCAGGGCACAGCTGCTTCACATCCTAGTAATCTCAGTGGACTAACTGTACTTTGTTGGCACAGTGTATTTTTAAATGGTATATTTATTGTTACGTAAGAGTCTGGGAATCTTAGTTCTCATTTTACTCTTTCTTATAGGTCAGACTTAAATACTATAATTTTGAATCAATTATGAGGAAAACAAACATAGGCTGAGATTCACTGTGTGAGGCTGATTAGTTTTGCAAATGATAGTGGGTACAATTTCCACAGCTGGTGCCCACCCTAAACGCTTTTCTAAGTGTGTACAAGTACCTTACTGTCTACTTCATTCACTTGTTTTTGGTGGAAAATTTCCATTCTACTTTATTCAAGTCATATGCTTTTCTCTCTCTGTTAGTCTGCCTGAAGTAATCAATTCTTGATATACAGGAACGAGTATGTAGTTTAAATCCAGATGCAAATGGATGCTAACTAAATGCTGTGTTGATGATGTCAGGAATCCACTAATAGCATTAGGTTCTTCAAGGCAATAGAGGGGACCTTCTGGCTGACAGCTGGAACTGCCTAGTTTCAGCTGGTTTCTGAAATAAGTACTAAAGGGAGTACCATTACTTGTACGGGAGTGTGTGTTATTCATTCCACAATGAGTGTTTGCCCTGTACCAGGTTCCGAGTGTAGGTCCGGGGGTTATACTAGAGCATGAAACAGACATCCTTGCCCACAAGAAGCATATACAGTGGAAAGACAATCAACTATTCACACAAATAACAGAATGGGAAAGAGTGATAAGAGCTGTTGAGGAGAAGTACAGTGTGTTATAAAAGCACAAGAAGCATATACAGTGGAAAGACAATCAACTATTCACAAAAATAACAGAATGGGAAAGAGTGATAAGAGCTGTTGAGGAGAAGTACAGTGTGTTATAAAAGCACAAATGGCAGGACCCGAGCTCATTCTGCATATGCCTAGAGTGGCAGAACAGCTTTAAAACTAATTGTTTGATGATAGTAAAGAATTACTACTTTTTCTGGACATGATTATGGTATTGGGTGTTTGTATTTTTTTGAGTTCTTATGTCGTAGAGATATACTCTGAAATATTTATGATGAAATGATAGGATGTCTTGGATTAGCTTCAAAACAATCTAGGGGTATATAGACTGGGAGTGGAGCCAGATTTTTCTTCTTGAAGTTGGGGCACTGGATTCATAGGATTTATTATATGTTCTTCTCTACTTTTGTTTTATGTTTTAAAAGTTCCATAATAAAAAGATAAAGAAAAATTTTCAGCAATACTAAATGAAATACTCATCAAATGGGATGAAAGTCCCATTTCTAGAAGAAAGAAGAAAGCATCGTTTTTCTCTTAGTGTTTTGCTGTGCCCCTGTCTTTCTTAGGATCTCCATGTGTTTTTATTTCTTCCTCTCCTTTCTCATACCCTTGCCCACCTCCTCTCTCTTTCAACCACCTTATGGTATATTTTTACTTTGACTTAGATTCTTCTCTGCAGTATTTAATAGAGGCATATGGTTTCCTCACTTCTTTCCTTCCCCAATTCCTCTCTCACATCCACTAAATTCAGTTGCCTTATCATCAGAAATGCTCCTTGACTTCCCCTGTGGGGCAGTCCTTAACAGAACCAGGCTCCTTGTCACTGTCATGGCAGTGATGAGGATGCGTATTTGTGCCCGAGTTGCATATTTGTGCCCGAGCATTGCTGCAAAGCCCTGCTGCCTCCATGTGAGCTTCTAGTGTGTCAAGACCGCTCTATCCACTGTCCACTTAGGCAGAAATTCAGACTGGACAATTACATGTGAGGTTTTGAGTGTGGCAACAATAGGAATTCATTAGTTGGGGAGGAGAGAATGATGCATATCTGTTTGGTTTTTTCCCTAAATGGAACTTTATTATCTGTATGAAATGTAGAAAGGTATTTTACTTCACTTCTAACAAGACTTTTCATTATAGTTTCCCACACCTTTTCTGGAGAACTTTCAACCATTTCATCCCTAACATAGTTATCTGTCCTCATAATCTCTTTGGGACAAGGGAGAGTGAAGTCCCCTATCTTCAGAAGAGCAAATTCAGGCACAGTGAGGATAAACAAATTGTCTGAGGTCGCCAGAGAAGCCAGCAGAAGGGCTGAGAACAACACTCCCGCTGGTAGTGCCCAGCAGATTATTTACTTGTGGGCTATGAGGGTCCTGGGCTTGCAGGCTTTCCTGAGGGTGTGGTAGGCGGGACCTGCATTTTTTATCTCTATTGTTCTCTACTGTTTACTTGCAGGATGTGAATGCACTGCATGTAACGGAATACCAGATGTTCTTTGTGGGAGGAATTTTATAACTCACATACACACTTGAGCATGCTTTTTTCTAACTGCACCCAGCTCCTTTCATTGAGCACAAAATGTAAATCTGCTTCCCAAATCACCATCAAGTCCTTCAGTCTGAAAGAACTGCTGGTTCTTTGGTATTTTTCACTTTTAGCCGAAGAACACATGATTCTTATTTTTTAGATGGGTCCAATCAAAGTGGCCAGGATCAGCTGTGGAATATCAGAAACCATTGGCTTGTCAGGCTAGATTTTAAGGCCTCCTCGCCCAGCCTCACTGCCCACCACTCCCAGCTGGTACCCTTTATCCTGGGAAGACAAGGGAGCATAATCTCTCCACCATCCACACTATGCTCATCCTGCCCTGGTGCCTCTGCCCATTTATTTTTCCTTTCCTGGAATGTTCTAGCTCTTCTCTTCCCATCTCCAAATCCTGGCTGTTCTCCACCATCCACACTATGCTCATCCTGCCCTGGTGCCTCTGCTCATTTATTTTTCCTTTCCTGGAATGTTCTAGCTCTTCTCTTCCCATCTCCAAATCCTGGCTGAGCTCAGGCCGCACCTCACTTCTGCCCACTGACCTAGCCCTTCTCTGCACTGCTGGAGGGCACAGCGTCTGTGCCATGTGACCTTAGCACATAACAGGTTGTGTGTGTGTGTGTGTGTGTGTGTGTGTACGTGTACACTAGTCCTGTCTCCACAATGACCTGCAAGATTCTTGAAGACAGGAAGGGACCATCAAGTAGAGTTATCTGAATTCCCTATGTGGCCTAGAAACAGATGTGGATGGAGTAATTTTAGCTTTAGTTTAATTTCTTTTAAAAATATCTTTGGTTTTACTTTCTCATGTGCTCAATTCCTTCTTCTACACAGTCATATGTGATCAATAAATTTAAAAGAGCCTGAGTAGAAAGAATGGGGGATTTTGTTCACCATGAGTGAGGGAGGTGTATATGGATTTCAGTTTGTGGTCCCCGTTGCTGCATGAGGTGAGGAATCACACAAATCTTGGTTTACCCATGGTCCTCTATGACATTTCACCACAGTGGCCAGCACTGTTCCAGAGGCGATGAAAACACTGACCTCTGTCGAAATGCTCTCTGGCCCATGTCCCTCGCAGCTCTTTTGACCTCCTCAGGAACTGCGTCTTTCTCTGCCTCAGAGACCTGGTAGACTGTGTGGCCTGCGTCCAGCCGGTAAGGGCCTCCTTTGCCACCCAGACCTGCAGTGTCTCTTCCCCCTGGAAAGAAAACAGGGAAATCCAGGTGGTAAGTCTGAACCTGACCACAAAACAAAAGTCAGATCATGGCTTTAAGACAGTCCTGTGAAATATGTTAACTGTACTTAAGTAGTAATTAAATATTCAAATGACTTTCTGGAAACAAAGGTGTTCCCTTGCTTAGGACATTTATCATTGTCTCCATCCATCCAAATCCTACCCATATTTCAAGGCTCAGTCCAATTCTATGCCACTTTACTGATGCCTCTGTATCATAGGGATCAACACTCTTGTGTACTATTTATTACCCTTTGATATTTTTCTTTTCTCAGCAACTATATGATGGATGGGATCATATTTTATTTACCTTTGTACCTCTGTACCTGTAAGAGTGGCTTGAATATCATAGATACTTAGTATGTATTTGCTAATTAGATGAGCAAATCTCCTCTTCCCTCACAGGTTACCTTATTTTTCCTTAAAATACTAAGAGACAGGTAGGCTATCGATACTGTTTCTTATGTTTTGCAAATCATAAAAGTGATGCACAGAGAGGTTAAGTGATCTATTCTTGACCTCCTATCACTGGCTTAGGCAAGATTAGAAGCCAATCGTAACACCAACTTTGACTTTTAGCTTTGAATAACATATAACAGATAAACATGGTCAGGTTTAGAACAGTTTTTCAATATAAACTCAAGTTTACATGCTTGTAAGTATACATTATGTGATATTGTATGAATGTTTTATGTCATAAATATAAATGCTTATAAGGTCAGGTAGGTAATATTACAAGAAGTGGTTGGGACATGGGCTAACTAGAGAGGATTTGCCTGTCTAAATATGTTTAAATTCAAATTATTTTATTTACAACACTATGTTGACCAAAGAAAATACATCTATTGGCCAGATTTGGCCTTTGTCCTACTAGTTTATTTTCCCTGCTTTATAATGATTAGAATACTAGTAACCAGTTTCTTTGCTTTATTCACACATAACTTGGGAACTTAGAAGAGAATCCAATATTAGAGAGGCAGTATAGTACGCTATAGTACAATATAGTATACTAGTATTGTGTAGTGTAGTCTAGGTAGGACAGACTGGTTGAGTTTGAATCCTGTCCCCAACTCACTAGCCATGTGTCTTTGGGGGAAATTACTTAACTCCTCTGTGTCGCAGCTCCTCATCTATGAAATAGGGATACTAATACTATTTACTTCATGCATTGTCATGAAGCTAAAATGCTTAGAACAGTATAAGGCACACAATAAGAGCTATATGAGAGGTCTGCAAAAAGTTCATGGAAAGATTTATATTACTTTTAATTCTGTTTTTCCATAAACTTTTAAAAGTACCCTTGTATATATGACTGCTCTTACTATTACTATTTAAACAACTCCCAGCCACACAGAATTAGGTAATTTCTAGTGTCATAAAATGGAAAATTTGAAAGCTTTTAGACTTTGGCTAAATTATGTTACATTTTTCTTCTCTCTTCTGGAGCTTTGATTGGTCTAATAAACTAAAAATGAGAACTGAGAATGAACTGCTTCCCTTATGAAAGTCTAGGTAGGTCATTTCCTTTTGGGAAATACCATGAGAACAGCCTATTAATTACAGTATTTTTATCCTTTGATTGCAGCACATCTTATTTCACTTTTATTTAGAAATGGGTGGTGGGAAATTCCTTCTTGGGTACGTGTGATTCCTGGCTCTCACTCACGGTCAGCCTACGGGCAGAGGGAAGCAGTAACTGGACAATGACAATGAGGTACAGGTGGAAGAGGTGCTTCTGGGATCTGACTTCCTTCCTACAGGAGGTCATCCTTAGGTGTGGGTGAACCATGAATTAGAGCTTAAAGCTTCCTAGGTACTGAGATGTCTTCGTCTTGGTAAAAGGAGAAAAGGACCCACAACTGTTAGAGGCTGGTATGACTGTGGCCAGCATGAGTCACACGCCCCTCGGGAGAGTCATGCTGGGGTGGAGAAGGCATGAGGAGAAAGTTCTTCATGATCTCCACTTCTGAGAGCCTTTAATTCGTACTGTTTAGATGAAAATGCTTACCAGAGGCTCTAAGACTGCAAGGCATAATCTCAAAGCTAAGCTTGGACATCCCAAACTAGTTCATAAAATAAGGGGGAAGAAAGACAAGGGTTAGATTTGAAGATGAAAAGGGAATCAAATGACTTGTTGGGCCAGAGCTAAGCTCCATGTAGACAATTCCGAGGCAGAAGAATGACAGAGAGAAAAGAGAAGTTGAAGCCAAGGAGCCTGATCAGTTGAAAAATAAATGGCTAAAGGAAGCAAACACAGGGTCTTCAGTCTGGACAGATATGTGAGCTAGTAGATTCAAGTAGAGTAACAAATAAGAACTTTCATTCCAGTGTAGTCCCACTGCTAGAAAACCTGCATCTGGCCAGCTCCTTGCACAATGCATTCCATATGGATTAAAGCTTGTTGGCTGGACACTGATTTCCAAATCAAAGGACATTTCTAAAAATAGCCTTACTTTAAAGCTTGACGAATAAACAGTGTAGGCAAGAAGTCTGCAGAATTATTTGATAACACATTGTCTCAGTACAGAAACCCATTTCCTCCCGAGGCTGTCAAGGCCAAGAGGCACAGGCCATCCTAAAGGAAGGTGAAGTAGGGAGCTCGTGCCAGCACTCCTCACGGCTGAGATAAGTGCGTACACAGTCTGGCCCTGTTCCTGTGGCACAGCAGATGTGTCTGCTCCAGCTGCCGCAGAGGAAAAAGGAAGACGACAGTCATGGGAACAATGCTGTTGTCTGGCAGCCAAGAGGAAGGAATGGACTGCAGCCATTGGTTCAAACTGAAAGCAGCTCTCTTATCTCAAAATCCTGCATCCTCAACATACTCACTTCTGAGATGTGGAAGACAAGGACCATTTCTTTTCAAAGTCAGTTGCTCAAGAAATAATTTGCTATAGGTTTCTGGCATGATTCCAAAGACATGGAATTTAAAAGAAGGGATTAACACTTTAATGAATACATTCTTCATGCCAGGCATTGTGGTCAGTGCTTTACAACCATAATCTCATTTAGTCCTCACCACAACCTTGTGAGGCAGTTAATATTATCCCACTCTGGGCTAATATCCCACTCTGAAGCAACTCTGGGAGGGTGAAAACAGTTTTAGGTCATAGGGTGGCAGCCTCTGTGGGACTCCACATGCCAGGCTCTTTGTATGTCTTAATGTCACACAGGGGTAGAGGGCAACAGCACAAGCCAAGTGAATAATGGGGGGAAGGAGAAGGAAAAGCTGGTCTCCTAGCCTTTTCAGCGGTGGTATGCTGGCCATATGGGCTTGGGAAGCCTCAAGAAGCCCGACCCAGGAGAATGCCCGTGTTACCAACCTGTTCCACCAGCCCAAGTGTTACCACCCACATGGGGCATGTTGTCTGGGTCCTCCTTCCCATGTTTTGGGGAGCTCACATCTTCACCACTGTCTCTGTTGATTGTTATCTAAAAATGAAAAATCAAGACATCACTATCCTGTGACCAACACCAGGAAATGCGTGACAGAACAGTCTTTTCCTGTAAGTCTTTAAGGTATCTCATAACCTCAGGCCATAGAACATGATAGACGTTGTTAGTGTCTAGCAAAAATTTCATCAGTTTTAATATCAGACTTAACTTTAGTTGGGAAGAAGATGAATTAAATTAAAAAAAAATTATTTTAGAAGAAGAAAAGGAGCTGGACTGGATTATAGCTTCAGAATTCTCCTGGTGCAGAACATGCCATAAGCACTTACACAAAGCTTGAGGAAAGAAGCAGGGAAAATGGATCTCAGCAAAGATGGACATTTTCCCAGTGGTTTAAAAGGATCCTTAACTGAACCAGCTGAGTCACTAAATATACATTTACCCATTTCATTTTCAAAGAAATCCTATTACTAAGCACTTACACAAAGCTTGAGGAAAGAAGCAGGGAAAATGGATCTCAGCAAAGATGGACATTTTCCCAGTGGTTTAAAAGGATCCTTAGCTGAACCAGCTGAGTCACTAAATATACATTTACCCATTTCATTTTCAAAGAAATCCTATTACTGTGAGAAATGCCATTTTATATTAAATATATGAAAAAGAAAAACAGAAAATGTATAAATGTGTGCCTTAGTAATAGACTTATCTTGTACATACCCATATATACTAAAAACTGCTTATTTATTTTCTGGACCCACTCCAATTTTGTTATGGTGTTTTGTGGCTTTCCTAATTCATCTTCGTTTTAAGACTGGATTTATTATTTCTGCAATTCAAACAGAGTAAGTGGCACTTTAGCCCTCTCCCAGGAGAGCCTGTAGCCGGTTGGTCCTATTTCATTCAGCACAGATTCACCAAAAGGATTGATAACCACACAGCAATTCCAATCCTAGTAGTCACTTCAGTAGATACTATTCCACAATAAAAACCAAACCAAAACAAAACAAAAAAGCCTCAGAGCATTCACATTTCACATATAACTATAGACCTGCTCTCAAATGTAATGATTTTCAGGGAAGACAAGATCAAATACTATTCATTTATTTGTTCAAATAAGATGTACAGAAAACATACTGGCAGGACATCATGAGAAATACCATGGGGCCTAAAAGCCATGTAGGATTGGTCACTGCCCTTACTGTGGAATAGGGGAGGTAGCAAATGGCCTGAAGTCTTCAGAGTTTACCCATTCCATGTCTGTACATGGCCTTTTCATTCTTGACATTGAGATTAATGAAGATAGGTAGATAATTTGAGGTCTTTGCAAATAAAATGGCTAGGAAGAATAAATTCAACATAATTTACATTGTCTTATGTCCAGATGAGTTCACTTCAAATGTTAGGATATTGTAAAGAGATTTTAATGAAGTGGACTTTTCTGCCAATAACTTTGGCAGCATTAGCAAAAGTTTTTTTGCCATACTTCAGCATACTTTAAGAAAATTCAGCAGCCAGAACATGACAATTGATATGAATTCCACACACATAATCACATTCTAAAAATGGATGAAAATAATTTTTTTCTCTTTTTTCCTTAAACCAGGCAGAATAGCAACATTTAGAGAACAAATGAATATTTAAAATGCTTTTCCCAAAACTTGCCACCACTTTCCAACTTGTCCATAAACAGTGTAAGAGATAAGCAGTAAATTAAAATATGTATACCAAGTACAAGAATTCTAAAAGAGAACTAACCAATAAAATTTTCTGTGTTGACAGAACTGTTTTTACCTGCAGTATCCAATATGGTAGTCACTAGCCATTAGCCCAGTTTGGCTACTGAGTACTTGAAATGTAGCTTGTGCAACTGATGACCTTAATTTTAAATTTCATTTAGTTAACTAAAATTTAAATTTAAATAGCTACATGTGGCTAGTGGCTATTTCATTTGACAGCAAAGCTCAGGGACAAGCTTGCCCCAGACCTAGAGATACTGTTGGAGATTTTTGCAGCATCCTATAGATGTTCTCCATGAGAAATGAGAAAAACAGGAAAAATTTCAAAATTGGAATAGGATTTTATTCTGTTGCTAATTTGAGAAATCTATGTAAAGGTATGACTTCAGTCTAACTTTTTTTCAACAAACAGTGGAACTTAACATGGAGATACATTTATTACAATAAGAAAACACACTTATTTTTTACACATAAAAATACATTTATTATAATAATGTTGCCACTACTCAAAACATTTCTGGATTGCTTCTGGATCTTCAGAATCCATGGCAGATTCTTTTTTAATATCTTTGACGTTGGCACTTATGTGTTCTTTAAAAACATTTGATTTTTAATAAACTGCCTAAGGATACTTGGAGTTAATTTTTGGTGTAAGCTATTTAACTTGCTACATAACCTTTGGCAAGTCCATTTACTTTTCTGGGCCTCAGCTTTCTCATCAGAAGCTAAGGAGGTTGAACTAAATGATTTCTACCATCTCACCCAGCATTGACATGCTGTGACTGATTCATTGATTCTAAATATGGTAGATAAGGTGATCAAGCTGGGTTTCAGTCAAAACCAGGTGCAATTAATACAATCATGAGATTAGTTTGCTTATAAGGGTTGTGACTCTTCTATAGGTCAATTAGAAAAAATAAGTTCAAAAACGGTCTGAGCAATGACAGCATTGTTGTAAGAACTGTTCTGAATACCATTCCTCACTTTGGGGTGTGTATTCTGGTATGCTGTTTAAAAACAACTAAAAACTTCAGAAGAAGTATGAAAAGCAAATTCCTACGTTTCTAGTAACTTTACTTTCATGATTATCTCCTTTAGACCTTTTACACAATCTAGTTACTCTAGTTATTCTAGTTATTCTGCTGTAACTTTTTAAAAATAAGTACTAAAAATGGTGGCACAAGGCATAAACAAAAACAAAAAACAAAAAAGGTCTCTCCTACAGCCTCCTTCAGTTAGCTCCAAAGTCATACTTTTGAAGTTGCAAAGACACCTATAATGACCATCAGGGAGGCAGAAAACAGTCTATAACATTTCTGGGCAGAAAGGAACCAGCATGTTCTTTGCCACCTGTGTGTCCTGCCAAGCCATCTGCTGGGAAATGGCACAGCTCACACTGCCAACAAGGTATCCCCACACTAACTCCAAATGGGAGCCTAGAGATGTTTTAAAATGGACAAATTCTTGACCAAAATAATCATCAGCCCAAACCTGATTTATTCCAGAGAGACACATACTATAAAATTCTAGGGTTACTTAATTAAAAGCAAGGCATCTAGGGAGTTTAATTTTCTGTGTTTTATGAATCCCATTACACTCACTCACAGGCATATATTTTTGTAGATGGACGGGGGAAGGAATCTGCCAAGGGGTTCACAAAGCCATTTTAGGGCATCTCTTACATGAATTGACAATAACTCATAAAAGGTGCAAGGCAGGAAGTCTAGGACAGTCCAACTCACAACAGAACTGGAACAGATACTAGGGAAGGCCTATCATTTGAGGACTGCCAAGGGGTTCACAAAGCCATTTTAGGGCATCTCTTACATGAATTGACAATAACTCATAAAAGGTGCAAGGCAGGAAGTTTAGGACAGTCCAACTCACAACAGAACTGGAACAGATACTAGGGAAGGCCTATCATTTGAGGAAGCTTGTTTCCTGGGGACAAATGTGTGCTATAAGTGCCACTGCTATTCAGAAAATTGATAAACTGCTGTCTGTTTTCATGTATGTGTTGAGAAGCAGTTAGAATGCATTTCCTTTGAGAGCCGGTTTCACCTAGAAAGAACTCACGTTAAATCTTCCAACTACTAAAATAGACACTAGTGCATTCACTTAAAGGGATCAAAATTTTCCCCAAACCAGAAAATATTGTGAGGCAACCCAATCCACATGCTGAAACCCTGATGTTTCTTACAGCTAACACACTCTACTTCCTTTTAGGTAAGTGTGCTGTAATCCTAAGGATCATTATCCTCTTACATATGAATTAAAATGGAAAAAAAACATGGATCTTATAAACTACAACTCATAAATATGTCCCAGAGTGAAGCAACCCAAAGCCAGCACAGAAAGGAACATGACTCACTAAAGTCCTGTAAAGCTGGGCAGGTCCCATATATTTTAGGTTCTTCCTTGAGCTCATGATTTTTAAAAACCATTAATAAAATGATATAAATAGCCAGAATATAATCCTAGAAGAAAAGTTAGCTCTTGGAGGTAGGACTGGACAACAGAGCTGATTGCCATTTTCCAGGAGACTAGATGTGGTGCATCAGATATTTCTAGTTGTCCATCTAACATCCATTCCCTCTTTCTCCCTTTTGAATAGAAGTCAGATGAATCCTGGTTGGCTGGAATTAAGTACAGTAATCCCATTACCCTTTGCTAGCGATTGGTCTAGGGAAAGCCATGTGCCCCGAGATGTAAAAGAAAGCCTATCAGGGGCCTTCTGGGAAAGATTTTCCTCCCAGGTAAAAGAAGGGAGGGTCATGAGGAGAGCTTCTCACTGTCTTGGATGTACCACTCTCCAACCACCACCCCTCCAACACACACACACACACACACACACACACACACACACACACACACACACACACACTTCTTGCCTTGGGACACAGTTGAGTGAGTATATGATGCATAGAGCTATAGCCTCCACCTGGTGACTGTGTGGCAACAAGAAGGTGGCAGAGTGGACAGATGGAAGAACCTATGCCCCTGATGACATTCATTCGTCCATTCTCTTATACAAATATTCCTGTGTATGTTTGTGATGCATCTACAACTCACTGGGATACAAATATGCATGAAACAAAATTTTTGCTTCAGCACAGGGTATTACAGGTCATAATAAGGTCCTGAACACATCAGCCTAAAACATATTATTGTCTAAGGTTATTCTTATCTACAGGTTAACAATTTCTTTCATAGATGCAATGAAAGTTATATTAACATATTCCTAGGAATGATGGCCTTTCATATAAAGTCAGCTGGTTTTAAAAAAAAAAGCTGACTACCACC